ATGGGCTACTGAAGAATCTCACCAAGGCACAACGTGCGATATTTCGAGAGGAAAAGAAACATGATTGCAAAGTTATGTTCTACATTCATCAGTGTGTTGATGAAAGTAACTTTGAGAATATTTCATTGGAAAACTCGACAAAATAAGGATGATATATACTAACACACTTACATAGGAAGACAGAGGTTGAAGGTGATGCGACTTCAAATCTTGTGTCATTAGTATGAGTTGTCATTAGTATGAGTTGTTGTTGATGAGGACGCAAGAAACTATTCAATAATACTTTACAAAATTGTTATCGATTACAAACTTGATAAAGTCATGTGGTGAAAGCCTAAAGGAATGAACAGTGGTAGAGAAGGTGTTGAAGACCCTCGATGCAAGATTCAATATAATTTCAATTGCAATCGAAGAGTAAAAAAATCTCAATTTGTTAAAACTTGATGAATTACAAGGGTCATTGGAGACTCATGAACAACGTTTATGTGAGAGAGCGAAAGAGAAATCAAACGCAAAACAAACGTTATTGACAAAACAAAATCTAAAGAATGATGAGAATAGAAGAAAATCGAGCAAGAGAAGTCGAGGAAGAGAAAGAGGTAGAAATAACAGTGGACAAAACTCAGAAGGGCAACATCAGAGTTTTTCAAAATCGAGTGGTGGTAGAGAAAAAAACTCAAAATGGAGAGGTGGTTAATCTAGTTCTGGTGCTAGTAAGAAGAATGTATAATGTTACAACTGTCACATGTATGATCATTATGTTGTTGACTATTGAAACAAAGAAGAAGAGACAAATGTTGCACAAAAGGAAGACTAGGAGGATGAAGTGTTGTTAATAGTGACCACGATGAAACCAGTGGAGACTTTTGTAATCTTGGTATTTGGATACTTGCGATTCGAATCAAATGTCATTTCAGAAAAGTTGGTTCGTCGATGCTAGATGAAAACGTGAAATCAAATGTGAAATTTGTAGATAATTCAATAGTAGATTGTGAAGGAAAATGATGAATAACTATAAGAAGAATAGATGGTAAATATGCAATATTTTTGGATGTATTAGTCATAAAACACAATTTGTTGAGTATCGGTCAACTTCTTCAGAAAGAACATTTGATCCATTGGAGATCGAGGGAGCAGATGTTGAGAATTCTCGATAAGAATAGAACACCGATTTTGAAGGCACCTCTGAGCAAGAACAAGATTTTTCGAATTGATATTCTAGTATCGAATAACTTGTGTTTTGTAGCAAGTCTCGGATGACAATTGGTTGTGGCATTTGAGATTTGGTCATTTTAGCTTCGATAGTTTGAGTCAACTTACAGAAAAGGAGATGGTGAATGACAGGAAAGTGTTGTATGATAGGAAATCAAGCCAGAAATCTTTTTAAAGTGTGCATCAAAACCAGAAGTAAGGATGTGTTGGAGGTTGTTTACACTAATGTGTGTGGACCTTTTGATATTTCTTCACTAGGTGGTAACATGTATTTTGTGAGTTTAACCGATGACTATAACAAGAAGATGTGAGCATACTTGCTCGAGAAGAAGTCAGAGATGTTTAATCGTTGCATCAATTTTAAATTGATGGTTGAGAAATAGTGTAGTCAAACTATTGAAGTGTTGAGATTAGACGATAGTGAAGAGAACAACAATGGTGAGTTCGCTTGCTTTTGGAACAAGAACGATATTTTGCATGAGATAGTATTCCTATACATACCATAACACAATGGTATTGTTGAAATAAGAAATCAAACAATTTTGAATATGGGTACAAGTATGTTAAAAATCAAACATTTGTTTTGGGGAGAAGCGGCATCGACAATTGTAAATATCTTGAGACCATGTCCAACAAAGAGAGTAAAGGAGAAAACTCCCAAGGGAGTATGGTATGGGAGAAAGCCAAATGTAAAACGAGAATATTTGGCACGATTACATGAAGACATGTTCGAGAGGAGAGAAGGAAAAAGCTTGATGGTTGAAGCCAGAAGTTAATTGGTAAGATATCATTCAACTTTTGCGTTTAAGTTGTATGATCCTATCAAGAAGAAGATCTTTGTCAATAGAGATGTTGTTATTGATGAGAAAGATGGTTGGAAATGGGGTTCGACAATGAAAAATCAAAGTGTTAGCGTTGATGACTCAAGTGATGCAAAAATTAATCGACTTCTGAAATCGAAGATGATGGAAATCGATTAACATCACAAATCGATGAAGGCAAAAATTGACCAATTTCTACAATCAAAGGAAGGAGAAATCGACTTACAAGATCGATTAGAACACTAGCGAGATTCAATAATTATGTGATTAATACTGATGATACTGTCACAATATTTGGATAGATGATTGAAGAACGAAGAACGAGAATGATTTTGTACATCTAGCATTATATGCTAATGTCGAACATGAACTAGTTTGCTTTGAAGAAGCGATTGAGGATCTCAAGTGGATTGAAGTCATGAAAGAGGAGTTATTGACAATCGAGAAGAATAAAACATGGGAATTAACTGATCTCCCAAATAATCAAAGGTTATTTAGAGTAAAATTGTTGTATAAGACGAAGGTGAAACCAAGCGGAACAGTTGCAAGACATAAAACCAAACTTGTGACGAAAGACTTTCTATAGAGAGAATGATTAGATTACAAAGAAGTGTATGCACCTTTTGTTATGATAGAGACTATAAGAACAGTTGTAGCTCTTGCTAGCTATCAAAGGTAGCAGATGCATCAAATAGATGTAAAATCTGCATTTTTGAATGGTAAATTAGAAGAAAAATTTTATGTTACACAACCACCAATGTTTGTGATTGTTGGAGAAGAATAAAAGGTTCTTAGATTGAAGATGACGTTGTATGGGTTGAAACATGTCCGGAGAGTCTGAAACACTAAAATCGATGATTGTCTTTAACAATAAGGATTATTTAAATGTGATGTTATGTATAAGATTTATTTGAAGATTGAAAGAGATTATATGTTAATTATTTGCTTATATGTTGATGATTTGTTCAAAGCATAAAATTGTTTTGATTGATGATTTTAAAAGGAGAATGCAAGATTAATTTGAGATAACTAATATAGGGAGGCTGTGTGAGAATGGAATTCATAGAAAGCAAGAGAGGTATTTTGATTCACCAAAGTAAATATGCCAAAGAAGTACTTAAGAAATTTAGGATGAGTGGGTGTAGTATGACGATTACACGAGTCGAAACAAATTTGAAGCTTGACAAAGATGAAGATGGGAAGCCTGTAATAACATTTACGGACAGATGGTTGACTGCCTAAGATACTTGTGTTGTAGTAAGTCGAATATTTGTTTTGGTATTGGTTTAGTATAGAAAAACCTAAAGCTTCTCATCTTGTAGCAGCGATGAGAGTTCTGAAGTATATTAAAAGGATGATTAATTTTGGTATTCTATTATCAAATGTTATATATCAAAATAAATGAGAATTGATCAAATATTAAATTTTGACTGGGTTGGTGATAAAGTTAAGTTCAGAAGTACATGAGACTATGTATTTCTATTGGAAAAATCACCGATTTCATGGTGCTCGAAGTTACAACCTGTTGTGACACTCTCCTCTTGCGAAAATGAGTACATGATTGCTATTTACACAACATGTCAAGCACTATAGATTGAGAATTTGGTGCATCGAGTCATTGGAATACCAGAGAAGACTACGACATTGAAAATTGACAATAAGTCAGTCATCAATTTAGTGAAAAATTCAATTCATCATGGGAGAAGTATATCGAATTGAAAATTCATTTCACCAGAGATGAAATAAGGAAGAAAAAGTTGAGGCTTAAACATTGTGGCACAAAAGAATAGTTGACAGACATTATGACAAAACCTTAAAATAATCGAAGGTTCAAAAAATTGATAAAGAACTTGAATATTAAATCGATTGTTGAATTAGAGGTTGTGTTAGATAATAATTCAATATTATGATGTAATGTTTGTTTTGGTTAAGTTGGTGAGTCTAACTATTATCACTATGTATACTATGTCTTTACTGTATAATGTTCTATAATTCAATTTTTATATTAAATATAATTTAATTTAATATTTTTTTTATTCTCTCATTTTAAAATCCTTTTTCCGCTTTAAAAAAATTGTCCTAGTTGCTAAATAAAAAGATTGAAATTCGATTATATAAAAGCTAAATTCTGACTTATTTTTCTTTTTCTTCTTGCAAATAAATATTTTGGAAGTTATATTTATTTAATCAAGTAACAAATTTATTAAGATTGTTATAAATTTTCTGTAAAGTTTACTATTGTCAATAATTAATTCTATAAAAATAAATATTATTAGTATTGATTATTAATAATGATTTTTATTAATTAAAAACTATTAATCTTAATTTAAATTTATAAGTATAAAAATTATATTCATGATTGTTAATTATTATTATTTTTTCTATTAATACGAATTGTGTAATTAAAATTTGTAAAATCAAAAATCGTTAAAATTTATTATTATTATTAAGGAATATATTGAGTTATTATAAAGTGTATTTATTTTATTATTTAAATATTTGTAATTAGAATTTGTATATTGATAACTATATTAGAAAAAAAAATGGAATTACGACAGCATGCATGATTTGTAAGGCTGGTAGTTTTTTTTTTTTTTTTTTTGGAGCAGCAAACATGCGGTTATGTTTGAAGCTGCTTAGCCTTTCCTAATAAATTTAATCTGTTCTACAGACCGTACGATCCGATCTCGTGTAATTTGCATCACCGCCATTATATTTGTGCCGACACACGTGTCAGACGTTGGTTCTCCAAATTGAGAACAACTTTCTACTCCTACACGCACTCAATAAATGTTGCACCCAATCCCCACCCTTCAATGTTCCTATAAATACCCAACACATCGTTTGCTTTAGGATCCCAGCATCTCCTCAAACATCCCTCTTGTTTCTTGGCTTTGATTTGTGATTCGGACAGAAGGATCTGCCAAATCAAGAGGGGTTTTGTGATCATAGTGTGCGTGTGCGACAATGGCTACAGCTAAGTTCTTTGCTGCTATGATCTTGGCACTCATTGCCATTTCCATGCTTCAAACAGTGGTTAGTCTTTAACAATGTCTAAGAACCAGACGCATTAACACACACCATAATGTTTTCATTTTTCGGGTAACACTAGTGTTGAGGATTTGAGGGGTTCATACATTTTTAATGGCTTGATTTTTCAGGTTATGGCTGCAAATGGGCGTGGAGACCACCTGAATGATAACAAGGTATGCACGTCTTCTTCAATCTCTTTCTTTGTGGGGTGTGAAGAATGAAAAATAGGGTCTTGGGATTTTGCTTTCTAAGGGGTGAATCAGTGCTGATTTACGCTGTTTGTTTCCTCAGAGCAAATATGGAAGTGGGAGTCTCAAGAGTTACCGTAAGTAAAGTTCTTTTCTTCAACTTGTCTTTTTATGGCATGAAATGCAAATTTTATTAGATTTCTCCAAATTTGTTCATAAAAATGGTGGCAACACTGAGAACGGAAGAAGGAAAATTCTTAAGAACATTCTCAAGAAGCTCACAGAGCAGATCTTTGGATTTTTATTTTGCTATTATTTTTTTAGTTAAGACAAATTATGCTCACATTATTCTGTACCTCTCTTTTCAAAGGTCTTAACTAACCAATCAGAGATATAATATTATTTGTACTTTTTTTATAAATTGAAACAATATGTTATAAAATTTTATTAATTGCTACATATCTCTTCACTGTCAATTTTAGTTTGACGGTGTGGTCAATTTCCCCCCTAGAAGCTACAATTTTTTGGAGTGTTTTGACTGATGTGTGAAAAGAGGCGAGTCAAATGACCATTGATTATTGTATTGACCACAATGCCTTTTGTTTATTACCAATGCTCACTATGTGTCTCTTTTGGGAATATGATATGACCAGAATGCCCATCACAATGCTCGAGGAGATGTAGCCAGACCCAATACCACAAGCCCTGCATGTTTTTCTGTCAGAAGTGCTGCAGAAAATGCCTGTGCGTGCCCCCAGGGTATTATGGTAATAAGGCCGTGTGCCCTTGCTACAACAACTGGAAGACCAAGGAAGGAGGACCCAAGTGCCCTTGAGCTTCAGCTTGGATCAATTGTTGCTTTCTTATATATTTATCATTTCCTTCCTGGCTCCATTTAATGCACTAGCTACTTCCCTTCTGTTTACCCTTCCTAACTAAATGATATATAGCCCCTTGTGGTGGCTCTATGATATATGTTTTCTTATGCATTTTGGGATGTCCCTTTTGAGGACCACATATGTAATATCACTCCTTAGGACATGTTTGCCTTTAATGTGAGTGGCATACTTATATCAATGCATCATCTGTGGAACTTATAACTTAATATCTTGTCCTGCCCAGTTAACTATTACATGCTTCTAATTTGGAATGAATGGGGTTAACTTGTGGCTACAATGATGCGTTGAATCATTGAATGGCGAATTGGGTTACTTTACCATTATTACAAGAACACTTTTTTCCGTTTAGTGTAATTTCTTCATTCCGTTTAGTGTAATACCAGATGTATTGCATGTGGTAAGGCAAAGTGATGATGCGCTTCCTCTGTCATGCACCCGTCTCTCAAAGTTTGTATGTAGGCCCATTTTACTCAAGACGCGTACTTTTGTTTTCCGTTTCTTTTTACAAAGTAAAGATGCCACAAAAGTAAAAAGTAGTGGCGGTGACCAGTAACTTGATGAAGATACTTAATCCAACTTCCGTTGACAAAGGGCTGGAAGGGATTAACATAAAGTTCTCTAAATTAACATATTGAAGATTGATCCGGCTGTTTCAGTCAAAAAGGAAAAACAGTGATACTAAAACCAAGATAGCTTTTGCTAGTATGAATTGGAATTGCTTTAGACATTAGTTACCTGAAATTTAGAAGATTTTGAGTTTGTTGAATGTTACTAGTATCTTACGCGGGATTATGGCAAGACATAATAGCGGGTAATAGAAACGCATGTGAGTATTACAATTTATGGAGCTGATGATCTAAAATCTAAAATGCTGATGGGATACAATCAGTTAACGTTGTGCTGTATTTTATTATATATTTATTATATAATTTGAGTAAACTCAAAACTAATAAAAAATATATATGATAATATATAATAAGGGAGCAAGTGGCTTTAATCTCGTACATATGTAGCATAATTGGAGGTGGGATATGTGCATTAGCAAGATTTGTTTCTTCTGTAAATGTCTTTTTTTTCTTTATTTAATTACAAAAACAACTAAATCAAAGTAAAGTAGTTTTCTGCTAAAAGCTGAAGACGCATATTCATTTGTAGTGCAAGATGCTAAGTCTCTCCTCTTTCCATGATGATCTCTGCAATTTCAAACTTTGATGATGGAGGTTATGGATCTATGCACCGCCATCTCTTTCCTCTCTCTTCTCTGTTTCTATAACCTCTAAATTCTCAAAAAATACGAAGTGGTATCAGAAAATCACTAATTTGATATGGCATATATAATATAATATAAATAATATAATATAATAAAAAAAAATAGAAAAACGTAATTTACTTACTTGGCATTGTAAAACCCACGATATAACGTAAACCGGCACAGAGATAGACATCATAGCCTGCATGTGTGAGATAAATATTTTCCTCTTGATTATTATCACAAATAAGCAATTAAATTATAAACTAAGTCCGAGGTTGCAAATATTTGTCACACACTTACGCAGTACAAAATACGAGCAAATTTGTCCTCCTCAGGTGTTGTGCTCATATACGCATCCTTTATAAGTAGCACTGCGATAAACTGCGCGCTATTCCTTAATTACAACGAATTATTGTAACTAAAAGATATTCTAAAATTTAGTGAACACAATTCCTCATGGCAAATATTGATAGATTCATTTAATTTAAAATTAATATTGGATATGAGACATGTTAAAGTAAATATGCGGCTAACACAACAGTGATGGTGAACACACAAATAAATGTATTTTGGGTGCACACTTAATAATTGAAGAGTGTGTAAGTCTTACGATTAGGATAGCTGCGCCAAATATGACACCTCCAGTGGGGTTTCTCAAGTTGAAGTCTTTATTCATCGAGTTGATGAGGTCATTGGTGGCACACTCTGCCACTACCAGAGGTGATCGGATTTGAGTGTTTGTTCCCGGAATACTCCATTCCTCACTGCATTCATGTTTTCATTTTTCAGACTTAAATTAAGTTCTTATTCAAAACAAGTTTATCTCACAACAATATGTTACTTACTGCAATTAACTAAAATTTAAGGACAATGCACATTTGAAGAAAAATAGGTCTACATATATAACTTGCCTTATAGTTATCTCCGTGTCGTCATCATCAGAAGGAAGATCGGGAACTGAATAATAATCTGGATTGTACGGCTGCACATCCCAATCATGAAGAAGGGAATAAGCACTATAATTAGTATATATGTAGAGTAGAGTATATAAGTACGGATAAATGAAAAAAATGGAGGACACTACTATACATTATTACAAGGTTAAGTATGATAATCCATACCTTTCTGCAAATCTCACATAATATCATGCAACCTCTGGAATTGGACCATTCATCAATGCACCTCCTGTGAACATACTAATTGAGGAGGAAGGAGAACAATGAAATTGGCATTTTTAGCAACAATCATATATACTAATTTTAGGACTAGTATATATTTTGTAAAAATAGATAAAATTTAGGATTACCTCTTTTGTAATGAGAATTACGACTTAATAAACAGAAAAAGGGAAAAGCACAAAATAATATTGGCCATTTGTTAGAGGGTAAAATATACACGTGTACCTTCACACTGCCATTGCAATTGCAGGGTGATTCCAGTTTAGAAACAAAATCCTCCTGTTGACAGTAGCGGCACTCTCCCTTTTCTTCAGTTTCTTCATCGTTCTCTTCAGGGTTTTGGTTATTGTCAACATAGGAATCGGTTGCAGGTTTTTCTTCCTTTACCGCTTCAAGTGATGCACTCAAATCCTCAATGGGAATTGCAATGTGATGTTGAGAGATCGAGAATTCTTGGCATAATCGGGTTCCTCCAAATTTCTCGGGTAAGACATTGGCATCATCTCCCATGTTGTCACCCTGCATCTCATGTTATATTACACATATATTAGCTATATACTTAAAGAAAAAAAAATTTGTATGGGAGTGTTATATTTTCTATAGTACTAATAATCTTTTGTATGAAATACATTAAAGTTTTCTAATTTATATATATAAAAAATATATTATATCTTCCATTAGAGGAACCATGAGGTGCTCAAGCCTAGCTACCTAGTTATTTATGGGTTTGGACACCCTCTTTTCTCTACTTTATATTTTCTCAGCAACCTTGTAATCCACCACTGTAAATTCCCCAAGAAAAGAACAGAGATCTAGTAACAACTTCAAATCCCCAAACGAATTTTGACCATGTTAATGTAGAAACCTAACTGAAATCAAGAAAAAAAAAAAAAAATTAAGTGAAGTTTCGAAAGAATCTTGAAAACCCATCTAATTAAGCTAATGTGCATGCAAGAAAAAACGAATATGGAAAAGAGAAAAAAAAAAAGAGAATAATTTTTCACAAAGATTAATTTACACTCAGTTCGTATCTTCATATTATTATATGCATGAGATAAGAAATCTAAAAATGAAGAAAAAGGAAAAAAGCTAGTTCATAAAAAAAAATGCCTCAGGTAGAAAGTCAGTTCATGAAAAATACTCAGGACTAAAACGCAGACAATAAACCTCTTCACTATCTAATATTTCATTCCCTCGGCAGCTTATGTATAATAATATATATGTTACTTAACAGACAAGGAAGGGGCATTTACTTCATCAGAAACCAAAGACACCACCGCTCCGAATATACAATTAATGATACAGTTTGCATTATGACACCAAACAACAACAATAAAAAAAGAATGTGCATTAAACCCCCCCCAACCACACACAAGCATTTGCAAAAGGCTACATGCAAAATTATAATTTAGTTCAGCAAATGCAATTGTTTTAAAAAAATGTAATCAACATTCATGCTATCCCAGGAACAAAAAAGTATTTTTATTACTAAACTTGACCAAAAATTCAATTCTTTGTAATGTGAAAAAAAATGATGATGACCTAATTTAACTCTCTTGCTGGAAGAAGCAAAACTGGGAAGAGAAAGAAAAGGAAAACAGAAAAATGTTAACTCTTTGGCTTGAATTCTCTGAAGTGAATATAGCAAGAGAAGACACCTATTTATACTAGCAGTGGCCACTGCATGAGAGCATTGCACTCGCAATTAACGAATATAATCTGATGTAAACTAAACAGATATGCGCGTGAAGAATTCGGAACCTTTGTGGGGCTTAGTGATTATGAGTTTCATTTTGTACAAGATGAAACTTTTGATAATTTCTTTTGTATTAGCTTCAATTACTGAAAATGAGACTCAACATGACGCTTCTGAATTGGAGTTTGCTGAAATTATGCAGAATGAAGTTTCTTTTTGTTGCACGAATTCTATCCGAATTGAAGAAGCAACTAAACTCCACCGACTGGATCCTCTTCTGTTTCATAAAGTATGTGTGGTTTTTGCGAGATGTTTCCGCATACTGAAGTATGCTGCAAACTACCACTTAAAGCTGTATCTGCTGCACATTTCTGGGGTGTCAGTGTGCTTTAATTTATCCAAGGCATGGGAATAACTCATGACAGGAGTAGATGACGTTGACTATATTGGTGAGGTCACATTTGTTTTAAAACACATTAAATTTAATTTTTTATAAAAACTTATTCAAAATAATGAGATATTAACTCATTAAAAAAATTAAACATAATTATTTGACCTAAGTGAATATAACTATTATTTCCTACATTAAAACTATTATAATATATAAAAATTATATATTTATTTTTCTTTTTTGTTATTAAATATGTTAAAACATAAAAAAAACAAATTTATACAATAAATTTAAATTTTATTACAAAATAGTTTTTTAAAATAGATACTTTATTATATTATATATATATATATATATATATATATATATATATATATATACATCATAATATATATACATATATATAGTTACTAATAAACCTATTTAAAAAATTAAAAAAATATAACCGACTAAACTTTAAGGATTTTCTAGTAAAAAATAATTAATTAAGTCAGTGTCAAATCAAATTTTAAGAAAAAAATATTTCTTGACATTTTAACGTGAAATATACATTCAGTTTATAATATTTTTAATAATATAATAATTATTTTTCATATTATAATAAAATAATTATCAATTAAATATATATTTCACATTTAATTGTCCGTATATCGTTACCTTAAATAAATTAGTCTAACATCTAATAAAGATTTATTTCATTTACCTTTTTTAACAAATGAATTATATATATATATATATATATATATATATATATATATATATATATATATATATATATATATATATATATATATATATATATATATTCTCCTATAAACTTATCTAATATAATTATCAAAAAGGTATTCACTAACTTCCATTGTACTATGCAAAATATGAGTGAAATATTTTTATCTATAAAATGAAATATTTTTTATCATTAAAAAAGCATAATCAGAAATCATTTCATTGTCCACGTTTTTTTTCTGGTGTCCATCAAGGTGGTAGATAACTTTTTTTCACAAAGATTATTGCCTAACAATATAACATTTGTCTTATGTGCGGTATTTTCTTCAATTCTCAAATTCAAGGCCCAACTTAACTTTCTGTACCCCCAAAAATCAAGACATGTTTTTTAAACGGATATTATAAAATATAAAAATTAAATTTCAATTTTTTTTTTCAAATAAAAAAGAAGTGTGTACATTGGGGGTTTTCAAATAAAAATTAAATGTTTTTTATACGGCGTTAATGTTGCAAATTCAATTGCATTGATGATTTTGAACTAAAATTAGAGAAAAATAGATAACAACTTTTGGTTTGAAAGTTATTGATTTATGTTTGATTGTATTTTTACTCTCTAAATTTTTTAAATATTTTTAAAATAAATTCAAAGAATGAAATGGAGAAATAATTTTATTTTAAAAAAATTAACACAATACATAAAAGTGTTAACTTTTTTTTTTAAATAGTAAATAGAAAAGGTTTTTGTTTATGTTTTTTTTTTCAATTTATTAATAAGATATATGAATTTAAAATACAGAGCATAGTGCTTAATTTTATAAAATAAATTTTAAAAATTTAGCACAATGTCAACTTATTCGTGATATGTTACCCTAAACAAAAACAAATTTATGTTAGTTTAAATATTGAAAAAAAAATCAAAATATTTTTAAAACTTCGAAAAATTTTAATTCCATAAAAAAAATTATGGAAGTATTTTTAACTAAATATCAAAAAGATATTTTTGTCTTTTCATTTTGATTAGGGGTTTAGTAATAATGTGGGGTGCTAATAGAAAGGCCCTTAAGAAAGGCCTTGATCCATAAACAAGATGAAACTCTAACTATGAAGCTTGTGTACGCTCGTGTGTACACCAAAGATATTTCCACGTCACAAATTAAAATATTAAAAAACTAATGTTTCAAATTTTTATTTTTTTTCCTTACTCTCAATAAAATTTCTTATAAACTATTGTTTCTAACATTGGATCTGATCAGCTGGTTCAATAGGAAACCGAATTAGAATTGGGATATAATTGTTAAAAAATGGGACAAAATTAGTAAAATTCAAAAAAATGACTAAATTTTTTGTCCAATCAATTTTGATAAAAAAAAAATTAAATTTTTAATATAATTTTTTTAATAAAAAATATAATATATTTTAATTTTTTTTATCTCATAATCACATTAACTTTAAATAATAATTATTTTATTTTAATAATTATTTATCTTTCACTTTTTATTATATAACTTTCGTGTATGTAGTGATATTTTTTGAATTTTAAGATAGTAGAAGTTTGAATTAATTTCTTATTTAATTTTTTATTTTTATCATTTAGTGCGCATCTTATATTTTATAAAAATTAAAATAATATAATATATATGCAAACACCATCCTATCCAATTTTAGGACATTAAAATATATAAAAGATTTCCAACATATCTTAAAAATCCATGCATACCTCATTAATTAATTTACACCATATTCTATTCTTATACAATAATATACACTAATTAATAATCCTCCAGGTAGTACATCATATATACATTAAGAAGAAAGATACCATATACATATAAAATATAATTATAACCATATACATATAAAATATAAAATGCCAAATGGAATGTGAATCTTATACTTTATTTGTAAAGTCTCAACGATAATCTTAATGGTAATTATTATTATTATTTTTATAAAAAATATTATTATTAATAAATTTATTATATATTTATTATATTAAAAGAATGTTATTTTACTGAATCAGTTACCACTTTAAACCTTAAATTTATGTTTTTAGATGGATCAGTTTTAAAAATATTACAATAAACACAGTTTGACTTACAAGACACATGCAGTTTTTTTTTCTAAACTCAAACTATAAATTTATTTTTAATGCATTAGTTGTTCATTTTTATTTATATTATTAATTTTTTATAAAGTATACTAATAAAACATCAACCCGACGATAGAAAATGATATATTTATAGTAGGTTATCTTATCAATAGAAAAAACAATCATTATATTAATAATTAGTGATTTTTACTTATATTGATCAGTTAATTATTTATTTTTATGTAAATAAAAGACGAGGAAAATATAACATTTAAAGTTAAATATGATTATAATGAATAGTAAATAAGAAATCGGTTATTTAGTCTCTTACCCTTAAAGGTAAAATAAGTAATATGTGAATATCTTCCACTAGAGGATAAATGATAATGTAATCAAAGTCAAACTTGGAGAAGAATTGGGTTGATTTAATTATTTGACGGTTCAAACATTGACTCCACATTTAAAGATGAGTCATCTGCTTAAGTATTCATAGGTTATCCAACTGAAAAATAGTAAAAAAAAAAATTATGAATAGAAAATTATTTGAGTGGCATTTATTTAGTCTTATCAAATATAATTAACATGGATTAATTTTAAGTGAAAATTTT